AAAGATGTGACATTCATACCACATTTCCTGAAAATTGGTCCATTCATATCAAGAGTTAGTGAAGGTGGGCAGCGCGCACGCACGCACGCGCGCACACACACACACACCCATGATACTACAAGCATATTTTTCCTTGCCAGACAATCAGCTAAACATTATCCCATCCAATCAATGAAACACATGAAAGTAGCTAATTAAAATGTACGCAAACTGATACACTGTTAAGGGGAGGGGAGACAGACCAGGATAAATTAAGGAGTTTTATACTTTTTACCAAAAAGGCATGTGAAATTTAATGTATGAATCAGGGCATTGTTATACATATAAAAGTAACAGGTTCAACTAATTGGCTTCTTTCTGCTAGCCCAGGTTATTTTGAATTAAACTGGCATTCTCTCTGGTCAAAATATAGAGTTGGTCACAACAAAGAAGCTGATGATCGGACTGTGACATGTATGGAAGAAAATCTGATGATCAGACAACAAAGGGATTTAAAAGTGGAAGCAACAACTTGCATATCTGTTGCTAAAAGAAGATGCGACTATTTCTGGATAGATATATTAAGTCTAAATGAACTAATTACAACACACAACTCAGAAAAAATAAAATGTGCATTATGCACGAAATCCAATTTACATTCCAAACAAAGTACAAAAGTATTATGTTATGTTCCTGTAGATAACACATACGGCATGTGTTTTTATAAAGAAAACGTTTCTGGCAGCAATGTCAGCTATTCATATACCCATGTATCTTTTCTTCAAAAGTGTCACTTCATATCTCCAGGAAACATCTTAAGGAAAATTAATTTTGTCCAGTCTGAGACATCTGATATCAGTATACTCCTCTGCTAACTGACTGATTGACTGACCGACCCCCTCAGAAGTTAATACCACTCAGATAGTGAAGAAATTCTGTTTTTACAGAACCTGAACGTTCATTGTCATGCATGCATTCATCAGTAGACCTAATTAATTCAATATCACATTCATACCCAGGCACATGTTTTTTCTCCTGCCCTGAACATGACGGAAGTTCCACCAAAACGCTGACAACCACCTACTGGACTATACAGAAAAGCACAAGCAATTTTTCAGTACAGTTCTTTGTAAATCTTTTGTTTCTCCCTGTTGAGATACAGGCTAAAACATAAACTCGATTTACTGCTCTAACAATTCTAGCATATGGGTATGGCTGTGCAGTTTCTCAATATATCAGTGCCCGTCATTCCTGAACCAATTCATCCTCCTCAGATCCCAGTATTCTCCTAAGTAAGAGTAAAGTAAGTAAAGCTATCCCTGTACCAGGCCGTGAAGGCCCATAGGGTTGTGAGACATTGAGGCTCCCACATTATCTAGACAATTGGCTCAAAGATGGCAGTAAGGCTGTCAGCCCCACGCGCCAGCCACGCTTTACTCCCCAGGAAAATTATTTAATTAATTCCTGGTATATTATATTTAAGCATCCCGTTGCACTATACACTTCTATATGTAGTAATACAAATGATGTCGTGAATGCAACAATTTATTTGGTTGTAGATCTTTGTTTTTTCTTCCTCTACATTACATGTATCGGCCGTAATTGGCCATCATCAGGTGTATTTTTCACTACGTAGCTGTCACACTGCACACAGTCCAAAATCTAAAACATCAGCCTGTCAGTTTTGTTTCAAATCTCGCCAACACACACTCGTCAATTTGATTTTAGAATTACTGTTTAAAATTTCTAAAATTTAAAGTTTTAAATACCAGGGACATCTGCTCTTGTCTACATGTGCTGCAGCGGCTATTTCTTGTTTTCAGCACCGTTCATATATTATTCTGTGCAGGCTCCCTCTGTGTCACTGCTTATCTTTAATATTTTTGCCCTAATTCCTGGTACTCATTTCTGTCAGAGGCTGAGTGAACCCCAGGGCCAAAGTGCGCCTGGAAGGATTAGGTCAGTTGAAAAAAAATCCAATGACCTCATCGGGACTTGAACCCGCGACCTTCCAGCTTGTAGCATAGCCCCTCAACCAACTCCTAAGTACAATGCTTAAAAAACATAATTTAAGCCCTTTCATAACATGAATAGACTGTGTTTCACAAGCAAAGGAAAAGTAGATGAAATTATGTTTTATGTATCTTAACTTCTTAATGTTTGGGAAAACTTTTGTCATAATTGAAATATAAATCTTGGAAGTTAAAGCTAGCACTTTATGAATTTTTGAAAGCAGTCAAAATAACAGTTTTCAGATGCCATAAAATTATTCTTATTACTTTCATTACGAAGTTCATTTTAATTTCTACAGTCCCCATTACATTCTNAGGGGGGGGGGGGGGAAACCCATGCACACCTGCTGAATCCAAACATGCACACAAACTCTGCTCTAAAATTAAATTGTAGATCTCTGACTCAGATATGTATGATTATCTTGTTGACAATACAGATCACAGTCCATTTGCCTACCTTATGTAAATCATCAACAACAAAACATAATTTGAATATGCCATAATTACCCTTTTGTTGATCATGTTTTCAGGCCTCCTGTGATTACAAGTTTACTACTAACTGCTATAAACATTTCATCAAATTTCTAAAAAGTGTCTCGCTGTATACACACGTGCACAAAATATTTCTCTTATTAAATTCCGTAACTCCTACATAAAGCACCTTTCAGTTTTGTATTTAACTGAATAAGGAGCGCAGATTCTGTCTTCAGATGACAGTTATCTCCAACTGAACTGTTCTAGCAGAATTACTTCATGTCCACATTTTGACTGACGTTCTTCATATAAAATTAAAATTCATTCACAAAGAGCATTACTAATATCAGTTTATGGTCAGACATGACCTCAATATAATGTACTCCATCCCTTTATGTCATATAAAGAACTCCAGCAAACGGATAAGCCAAAGAGCATACATAATACATCATTCGTATTCCTTAGCAACTTACAGAACAAACTATACATTGCAAGTATTACTACTTTATGCAGAGATGAGCTGGGCTGCCAAAGACAAGCCATGACTACAAACTTTTGAATATAACAAATAAGTGTATATACAGACAGCAAACCCATGATTACTGAAGTTCTATTATGCATATGAATTACTGTTTACATAACAAAGCTAAGAGTAAACATGTATGAAACTGATATTTTAATACAGATATTCATACTTTATAGTTTGTTTAAATTATAAAATTACTGTTAACATGTCCAGTGGGATTAAATTTGTAGATATGTCCAGCAGTATAACGTACGCAGCCACATACGAAAGACATATCATAAGACACAGTATATACACAATTAAAACATAAGAACGACTCCCATTGCGGATGATTGGCATTACACACGAGTTTGATATATGACATGTAAGATGACAGATCTTAACAAGTTTTAATATATAAATTTTATTAATGAACAAAACGAACACACATTTTATATCATTTTATAAATGGACACTTGATGACAAGCAGTGCAATGGTTCAACGTGATTAATACACCTGAAGATGGCAGAATGCCGCCGAAACATGTAGTGTGAAGTGATGAGTGAGATTGTATGCACTAAAAGACGGTTAATATATGCACATTATGGATACGAATCAGTGCAACAGGACGCTAAAATACAACATTGTAGATACTTATTGCCTTTACATGTTTCGGTCAGCTGACCATCTTCAGAAGGCATAAGTTCAACATGTTCAGGAACTACTACTACTACTACTACTACTACTACTACTACTACTACTACGAAGTTCATAATACATACTTAAGAGTTTTATATAAAAAGTAATATACAATTATTTGGATTAATATCTAATATTTAAGATCTTGAACTGATATGGTTTGTGTCCTTGTACCTTTTCTGTTAAAATGGAATGTTGGGGTATTATTGCACATAGGCTCTCTTTTGGTTACCTCTGACATGCAGAAAAAGAAGTGTATCTATCCCATTTCTTGACCTAGCACAACTAGATATTTAAATCTAACAAACATCATATGTGTCAGGAATTCAGCACCACTAGACAAACTGAGGTGCGAGACTGAATTCCCTTGTTTGCCTGTTTCAATGAATTTGTAGTGCTGATGGGAGATACTGTGGCATGTGTAAGGAACATGCACTACTCTTGTGGAACATTCATGAGAATGGCAACTTGGTTTAACCTATTTCTGAACGCAGTCCCTGGCACATGCATCCTTATTCATGTGCCCACCCTACTACCACCTTCCCCTTGCAAGGACTGGCTGTGAGATGGAGACTCACTGCCTGTGTACCATGTGGTAAGATGAAGAATGATCATTTCCCAAATTACTGTCTGGTTCCTATTTCTAAAATAGTCTTAGCTTTACTACCTCCTTCTTCCACTGGGCAGATGATGTACACTGCACCTGTCCAAATTGAACTGCAGTTCTAAATGGCCTACATGTCACTGACTTTAATGTCATGGTGACATATGTGGTACAGGCCTGTCCAGTTATTTCTTTTTTGTTTGGTTTATATTTATTATATTTTGTATTTTACTGTTATTTTTTATAATATACTGATTTGGTTCCTAAAAAAATCTTCCACTGTGAGTACATGTGCTGCATTATTCATTAAATTATCTGTCCCAATCAACCCATGCCATATAGGGGCAGAAGCAGGTGGCAAAACATTTTCGCTAAGTTTGCGGTAAATTTCATAACAGCTGCCTAACATCTGTATAACATATCTTAAAATTAGAGTGTGCATATGTTAGGCACATAGTGCATATGCAGATGGACATAAACTATTAATGTTCGGAAAATAACAGGCGGGGGAAATGAAAAATCCAAAAAATGGCGATTCCGTAAGAACAACTGACATTTTACTGCATGTCAACGTAGTATGCCACCACAAAATCTTGAAGCTCGCTCTGGTACAGAAATCAACGTCATGACTGTCATAACAAGTTGAGGAATAACTGTGTTCCTGTACATACCTGGTTATAAACTGGCATAAACTAGATTGAAGTAAATGTTGAAAGATCTTCCTACCTTTCTAATGTCGTCCAGGTTGTGAATTTCTGGTGAAAGACCTCCATGGACACAGAGGAACTGCTGGTTCATAAGGGCAGCAAGTGGCAAGCAGTCGAACGCTTCCATGCATGCCTCATATACACGTTCTGAATATTTTATTTTACCTGAAACAGAAATTTATTTTCAATTTTTATGGAAAAAAAATAGAGTAATATTTTAAGTAATTCTGTACAATGTCACAATACCATTTATGACACAGGTTAGGATCTGATCTTAAATCTGTTAACATTTTCATCATGAAACTATATTTTCCAAATCCAGATTTTCATTAAAATTTTGTGCAAAGAGTCAATTATGCAGATACCAGGAGAACATTTCACTGCTCTTCAGTCTCTGGTATTCTGACATTGCTTTGTCATGGATGCCTTATTTATTTAAATAACCACATTACAGTATACTTTATATGTTTACAGAACAACGGGAGGGGATAAACTGTTTCTTCTGATGACTCCAGAATCCAACTAACAAATGTTTCTATGAATACTGCTGCAGCTGTAAAATTCATGAAGTTTCGTAATGATACAAACTTTAAGTTAGAAAGATGAACAGAAAAAAAAAACACGCGAAAGACCGAAACATGGGTTGGGTAATATGAAAATGGTACTTAAAAGGAATGAGGTGTAAGTGTGGAGACCGGATTCATCTGGCTCAGGATATGGTACAATGGTAGGCTCTTACGAACATGGTAATGAACCTTCAGGTTCCATTAAATGCAGTTAATTTCTTGATTAGCTAAGTAATTAGCAGCTTCTCAGGAAGGCTTCTGCTTCATGAAATTAGTTAGCTACAGACTATATAACAGCAAAATTTATATGTTATACTTCTATGAAGCCTTTATGCAAATCATTATGCACATTCTTGCATTAAAACTTTCAGTTCTGGTATCTAATCAAATAGCATCATTCCAGTGGTAAAGGTACAGATTTGCTCCATATCTGAACTGCAGAGTCATGACTTTAAAATTAGTTTGACAACATCAATGCCATGCAACTTCAATTTCATTAAGACACTCAGTTTTAAAAGTTTTCTCTCTTTTTGCTACAACTACAAGTTTAAAGGACAACGTAATGCCAAAAATGTTCCTCTACTATACAAGCTTCGAATGAACGCATCATCAAATACACTGTGCACTAATGCTAATAACGAATTTTGCAATTTTAAATAGGCAATCTGGAATTTTACCCTGTCAGTCAGTGCCTCAACTGATAGTCAGGGAGCCAAAATAAGTCATTCATTACAGCGGCTAGGCTGTGGACTGAAAAGGGCCAGGACTGCTCTAGCAGTATAGCATGGACTATGGGTTGGATGGCCCGGGGTAAGATTTTTCTTCTCTTCACAGCGACCAGACCAGCTCTGAGGCCACCCAACCTCCTATTCAGTTGGTATTGGTGTAAAACAGTCTGGGCGTGAGGCTGACCACTCACCTGTATCCAGGCCAAGATTGGTGGAGCTTTGTCTCCAGCCCCCCCCCCCCAAATGCGTCTTCACGGCATTGTGATTGATCAAGCACAAGCAACTTTACCTTTATTTAGGCTACGGACTGAATAACGAGTGAATATGGGTTCAATTCCCATCATGGGCAAATATTTTCCTTGCAGCATCCAGGCTGGCACTAGGGCCCACCCAGCCTCATACTCACCGGCACTGGAGGCTGGGATGACTAGGGAGCCTGGTGCCAAGGTTAAGAATGTATGGAGTCATAGCGACACTCCCCCATTCATCTTGAGTATTGATATCAGATTATCCACTCCAACCCATTTGAGTAATATCAACTGAAGTACCATTCTTCAAGCACAATGTCACCTGACAAAATAAAGTATTTTAACATAAGCATACTTACATTCTTGTTTAAATGTGAAGTATTCTGTTAGATGCCTACATTCATGGTTTCCCCGTAATAGAAATAATGTGGTAGGGTAACACAATTTCAGCGCCCACAGGTACAACACACACTAGAAGCAAAGAGAAACATGTGTTACAACCACTGATCTACTGCAATACAAGAGGAAAACTACTAACTAACTTCATGGTACTCAGCCCTTCTTGAGAAGCCACCAGCTGTGCAGCCACTCAAGAACTTCCCAAAATTTTATGGGATCTGAAAGGTCATTACCGTTTTCACAAGAGCCCTCCACTAGTCCCTATCCTGATCCATATCAATCGAGTCCATACCACCCGAATCTATCTCTCTAAGGTCTCTTTCCTACTTTATTTCCCACCAATATCCTATATGTGTTCCTCTTTTCCCCCATTCGTGCTACATGCCATGCCCATCTCATCCTCCTTGACTTGGTCACTGTAATTATATATTGCGAAGAAAGCTAAGAAGTATCCTAATTATGTAGTTTTCTCCAGTCTCGCATCACTTCATCTCTCTTCGGTCCAAATATTCTCTCAACACCCTGTTCTCAAACACCCTCAGTCTATGTTCCTCCCTTAACGACAGAGACCGAGTTTCACACCCATACAAAGCCACAGAGAAAATTAATAGTTTTGCATATTCTAATTTTTTGATTTTGAATAGCGGACATGAAGACAAAGGGTTCTGGCATGAATGGTAGAAAACATTACCCGAATTCAATCTCTTCTTAATTTTCTTCTGGATCAAATTTTCATTTGTTACCAGCGTTCAGAAATACCTGAATGCCACATTTTCGAAGGATCTGTCAGCTATCTTTATGTAATGATTTTACCCTGCATTCTGGTGACGAGACGACAACATATAGTTTTCTCAGCGTTTACTTCGAGACTAACTCCTTATAGCGTCAATTAAAGTTACTGCGTGTTTCTTTATCGTATATAAGTTATCACCCAGCAGGTTCACAAACATCAGCACAGAGCAGCAGATGATGTGTCCTATTTAATTTCAGTCCCACCGTCTTGCTAGATCTTCCTAATGAAAAAGATGAAAAGCAACAGTGATAAAATATCTCCTTGTTTTAGACCATTTGGATAGTAAAATTATCAGACAAATGTTTGCCTATATGGACTTCACTGTACGTCTCGTTTATACTACAACCTTTTAATCAGCCTGACTAGTGTCATAGGCATAAATATACAATCTACCTGACATATCAGAACCCATTAATTGCGCTATATTGAAATACAGACCGCCGGAGGGATGGATGTAATCAAACATAGTATTTATACACATTCAAAAGGAAAAATTGAGGAGAGCTAAAGAGAACAATACAACACAGTTCTGCACTGTATAAAAGGAATACTACAGAATGCATCTCGAAACAACATAGAACTAATTTAGTAAAGGCTGCGAATGGTGATCTGCTTACAGACTTCCATGACATTTTAAACATATAGTACTACCACTTCTCTGAGCTATTCAATGTACATAGGATTAGTGATGTTAGGCAGATGGAAATACAAACACTGGAGCCATTAGTACCTGATCTTAATCCTTTCGGGGTTGAAACTTCTATTGAAAAGTTGAAATGGTACAGATTACCACGTGCTGATCAAATTCTAACAAAACTGACTGAATCAAGATGTGAACATTATGTTCTGGGATCTATAGTTAGTTAGTTATTAGAGAGGGTGGGTTTCCCCATGCACTTAGACCTGTAGTGGTCCATTGTGCTTCCCTCTATGATTTCTACCAGCCTCTATATCCTGCCGATATTGGCGCTTACCATCAGTCCCGCCCAGTCAGCGAGACCGGCTCTACTGGCTGAGAAGTATCTATAATGCTTCCCCCATCTACCGGCGGTATTAGTGACTGCTGTCGGGCGGCAAACGTCCGCAATTTTGCTCAGTGGCCTCCTTTGGAGGTATGAGGTTCTTTTACGTGCCGTAAAGCTACGACACAGGACCCACGGCTTAAAGTCCCTCCCAGAGGACTTGTTCCCTGAATTTTTTCCGCCCTTAAAAAATCTGACGACCTCCGCCGGGTATCTGAACCCGCGTACTACGAGTCATGAGGTGGGAACGTTACCTCTAGACTACGGAGGCCGCTTTCTGGGATCTATAAACTCGTTAATTCTATTTGGCATAAGGAAGAACTGCCTTGGCAGTGGAAGGAGTCTATTGCTGTTACCAATTTACAAAAAGGGCGATAAAACTGACTGCAGTAATTATTGTGGGATATCCCTGTTATCAACTTCATAAAAAATTGTATCTAATATCCTCGTCTCAAGGCTAAGTCCATAGGTAGCCAAAATTACTGGGGATCATCGGTGTGAGTTTTTACGTAACGGATCAACTACTGATCGCATTTTTGCATTCATTAATTACTGAAAAGAAAGATGGAAGTACAATAAGACAGTACACCAGCTACTCATAGACTTCCAAGAACGCCTATGATTCAGTTAGGAGGGAAGTTCTGCACAATATTCTTATTGAGATTGATACATCCGTGAAAGCAGATAGGCTTATAAAAATGTGTTTAAATGGAATCTATGGTAAAATCTACACAGGAGAACATTTATCTTATATAGTTCCTTTCTAAAATTGTCTCTAAACAAGGAGATGCTTTATCGCCAGTGCTTTTCAACTTTGCTTTAGAATATGCCTTTAGGAAGATCCAGGAAAACCTCCTGGTCTGTACTGATGAGGTGAATTTACTAGGAGATAACACAGATACCACACAGAAACTTCGACTGACGCTAGTAAGAATGCTGCTCTAGAAGTAAATGCAGAGAAAACTAAGTATATGTTGCTGTCTCACCACCAGAATACAAGGCAAAATTATGTCATAAAGACAGCTAACAGGTCCTCTGAAAATGTGGCACCGTTCACATATTTGGGAACGACAGTAACATATAAAAATTGGTTCAGGAGAGCAGATTAAACATGGATAATGCCTGCTACCATTCGGTTAAGAAATCTCTTCTCTTATCATTTGCCATCTAAGAACATGAAGAATGAAATCTATAAAAACTATAATTTTGCCTGTGGGTTTGTATGAGTGTGAAACTTGGTCTCTCAAATTGCAGCCAGTACAAAGACTGGCGGTGTCTGAGAACAGGGCGTTGAAAACATCTGGACAGAAGACAGACAGATCAAGAAAAGACTAGAGACAACTGTATAATTACCTATTATACCTTGTACTCCTCACCAAATATAATTAAGGATATTCATGTCAAGGATTAAATGGGCAGGGTATGTAACACGCATTGGAGCAAAGAGGAATGCATACTGCATACATGGCTTTGGTAGGAAATCCCGAAGGAAAAAGACCACTAGGAAGACCTAGATTGGAGGACAATATCAAAATGAATCTTCGAGAAGTGGGATGGGGTGGGGGTACAGACTTGATTCATCTGTCTAGGGATAGTGACCAGTGGTGGGATCTTGTGAACAAAGTAATAAACCTTTCTGAGTTCCATAAAATTTTGGGAATTTCCTGAATTTCTAAATGACCGCTGGTTTCTCAAGAAGAACTTGGCTCCATGGAGTTTGTTTCTTGGATCCCCAAAAATTCAAAACAACAATCTTCAAAATATATTTTAGACTGATATAAAACTACAACACCAAAACATGGGTCCTACAAGGAGAAACAAAAGCAAAATCCATGCAATGAATGTGAAATTTGGGAGTAGTGAGGGAAAAAGAAGAGGGATAAGATTAAAAATGACATGTTTAGAGATATCGGAATTCAAAGTTATTACAATAGTTCGGCCATGTAAAAAGAATGGGCATGTCAAGAATACTGAGAAGGATATTACTCGTGGTATTAAAATTTAAAGGAAAGGTAGTTATGGGACGATCCTGAACATGAAGGTTTATCTAGGTACTGGAACACGTCAAGAAGCGATGAAAGAGCTGGCAAGAAATTGACAAGGAAAGATTCTGTGGGATGAAAGACATTTTGTCCATCAGTGCAAATATAATGGAAATGACGGCATAATAATAATAATAATAATAATAATAATAATAATAATAATGCCCCGCGTTACCTATGTAACGAGACAATAATTCAAGCGGGTTTAGAATTTGGCTACTATGTTTATTGGACGGTCACTTCTACACTTACTAGTACAATTATTCAAAATCACAATTACTGCTTTGAGGCCAACTGAAGACTGACTACTCTTCTAACGTCAAATGCAAACCGAACTCGTCTCTTGTCGCAGTTGGACTCTCATAACTTCCACGCGGACTCATTCCGCTTGCTGCTATCAAAACGGTGCTTCAACAATTCATGTGTAACGGTGGAAACTGCACTGTTAGGAATTGCTAGCGTTTTGATTCCTAGCCGCTGTCGCGGGAACATTGGTCGTTGCCTAGGAAATCAGCTCTCATCTCAACCATTCCTTCCGGCTTTCTGGTGGCACGCCACATTGCTCCCTTCTTAAGGTTGTTCGTCCCGAACAGCCTAACGGTGTTTCCTTTTCATATTCCGAGCGCTACATCCGCTCCCTCTTTCAAGGGTGCTTGTCCCGAGCAGCTCCATGGTAGGTCGCGAGCTGGTCCAGGTGTACTACCAACATCCTCGACCTAGGGTTCCTCTGGATTCTGTATACCGCATCATTTATTCGGGTGACTACCTTCCCACGAAGATTGAAATTTCGGTGATTTCCTTATCCTGCCTTCCACCTTCCTTGTTTATAACGAAAGACGGGCTTATCATGCTATGTTATCATCATGTCATCCAAAGAACTTCTGAGACAAGCTCTAGATTTTAGGAAACTACGTATGAACATCATGCCACAAAGGAATGATAACTTTTGTTGTATTTCCTAATTCTTTACTACCAGCAAGGCAGCAGTCCAGACTTTTGAGATGTAAGCAACCAGTACCGCTTAATGGACCTCTAAAAATCTGTATATACATTTCAGTTGGGCGATGAAATCGATTAATAAATCATACGCACATAAGAGGAGCTATGTATGAATATACACCATAAATATACCATAATCTTCTACGGAAACTGAGTGAATCCAGAGGCAAAGTCCCATGTATTGAAGACATTCTTCATCCGATATTAAACACCTGA